CCGCGCCCCGAGCAGCGCCGGGAAGCCGAGCCGGGACCGCAGCCCCGGACCCCGAGACGCGCGCCCCCAGCCCCGCCAGCCACCCCGCCCGCCATGGACCCCAAGGACCGCAAGAAGATCCAGTTCTCGGTGCCCGCGCCGCCCAGCCAGCTCGATCCCCGCCAGGTGGAGATGGTAAGGGGGCCGCGCCCCACCCCCGGCAGCGCCCCCAACACACCCCGGGGCTCCTCGCGCGGCGGGGCGCTGCCGGGGCCGGACCGGCCTGGGTGTGTATGTGGAGGGGGGGGCGACGGAGCGTCTCGGGCCGCCTCGGACACGCGGGGGCGCGGGGCAGCGCGTGAAGTTCGCTGCGGACTCCGGCAACTTTTTCCCGGGGCCGCAGAATGCCGGGCGGCGAGCGTCGGGGCCCCGGCCGTTCCGGGCCAACCCCGGGCGGGGAGACTGTGCTCTGGACCCTGCACGGTGTCCTAACCGAGGCTGCCAGGGGGACCGCTGCGCCCTGGCCCCAGCCAGAGCCGGTCGGAAGTGAGACACGTGGTGGTGCACTGACCCGTTGTGCAGAACCGGCCTCCAGCTCGCGGCCCCAGGCTCTGCCCCTCTCTGGTCCCACCGTGTGTGCCTGGGCCGGGCCGCCAGAGCCTTGTTCTGACCTCCTGCTGCCAGGCCCCACACGGAGCCACAACATGCGGGTGGGGGCGACCAGTCGTCACAGACCCCTTCACAGAGTACTGAGTTCTCTGGAGAGCCTTCCTGGGGGTGGAGAGGTCTCCAAAGGTGGTGGGAGTGGACGGAGGGAGAGAAGAGGGCTCCGCACCCCCGCCCCCAAGTAGAGTGTTCACTTGTTGCTGAGCTGCAGCTGACACCCAGCAGAGCAGTGAGAGTGGAGCCAAGTCATTTTGGGGGGAGATAGGGGGGCCATGGGGGAGGGGGGAGGGTTGGGTCCTGGGTCTAAGCAGCTTTGGGTCTGGAGGCAGTTTGGAGAGCTTGGCGGGGGGGCGGGTGACAGTTTCAGCTTCATTCACCTGGTTCTCTCTGTGCATTTCCCTGGAGCTTGGAGGGGACCTAATTAACTGACAGTTGGTCTGATTGCCAAGCTGGGGGGGGAGGAGCTACTGGGAGTGCTCAGTGGCCCCCCCCCCCCCCCCCCCCCCCCCCCGTTCAGCTTGGCTCATATACCAAGGAGGGCAACTTTTTGTTTTTTATGAGCACTGGGCCAGGAGTTTTACAGCCTGAGAGAGACTGCTAGAGAGACCCAGACACAGTCTTCCAGGGACACCTCCAGGACCGGGTGGGTCTGGGGCTCAGGCCCACATGTTGCAGGTTTCTGCAGCACCTTGGCTCAGCCTCCCTCTGCAGCGGGATCTGGTTTCTTTGGAGCCCTTGGGCTGACCTTAGGTGGGCAGGGCCATGTGGGTGCCATGGCCCAGGGGGCATCTCTTACAGTCACCTTCCGCTCCTGAGGTCTGATTTCTGCAAAAGCAGGAGGGGATGGGCCTCCTTGATAGGGGAAGGTGGAAAGGGAGATGCCCATTCTGGAGGAGCCACGGAGGGGACAGGTATGGGTTAGGAGTCAGTGATGGGCTTTTCTCCTCCTTTCTCTGCCATGGCAAGCTGTGTGGCCTTGAGCTCCTGCCTGAACCTCTTTGAGCCCTAGGTTTTCACCTCTGTAAAATGAGGGGGTTGGGTGAACTATAGAGTTCCTTTCAGCTCTAACAGTCTTTGATTCAAAGGCTCCCTGGGGATTTCAAAGCACTGTTTGTTCCCTGCTGCCTGGGGAGGGGGGGTGCAGGTGTCTGTCCTGCTCCCCTCCCCCCACCTCTTTCTCCATCTCCTTAGATCCGGCGCAGGAGACCAACCCCTGCCATGCTGTTCCGGCTCTCAGAGCACTCCTCACCAGGTGGGCCCTTCCCTGCTGCCCCAGCCCTGGCCCCACCCTAACTCTGAAGCCTTCTTGGGGCCAAAGTCCCATGAGTTAGGACACTGAGCAGAAGATGAGGGGGAGTGAGTAAGGTCTGGGAGCCCAACCCTGCTGGGTTCCTTTATTGACCAGGCACCTTCCAACACCCAGAAGGAAAGGGCACACTTTCCCTTTCCCCAGAGCCTGAACCTTTGGGGAAAGTAATTCAGATTCTCTTTCTCTCTTCCCTTTCCTCCCCTCCTCTCTCTTCTTCCCTCGGCTTCCCTTGGTTCATTGGCGGTCTCCCTCAGAGGAGGAGGCCTCCCCTCACCAGGTGAGTTTCCAGGGGCAGCTGGAAGGAGGGATGCTGGGGGCCCTTTTTGGTGGGCTGGACAGGATTCCTCCCGACTAACACATGGTGCCACCCCGGAGGACACATTACCATATCCATTGGCACCTTGGTAAGAGTGCATGGTGCCAGGGTCCCACTGGTACAGACTCCCCTGCCCTTGTCTTTCCTCAGCTCAGACTTGGGCTGGGCCTCCAGAACCCTGGATTCTGCCCTGAGCCAGGCTGCAGCTTATGGAAGACCCTCCCAAAGAAACAGGGCAGCCTGGCTGGACCCATCAGCCGAGGCTAGAACAGTTGTGGCCTGGGTTGCCAGGGCTGGGGTGGAATGGAGGAAGGGTGAAGGGAGGGGGCCTCTGGTGAGTCTGTTTAACCTGTCACTTACCCTGGCAGAGAGCCTCAGGAGAGGGGCACCACCTCAAGTCGAAGAGACCCAACCCATGTGCCTACACACCCCCCTCGCTGAAAGGTACTATCCCCCCCTCCATCAGTCTGGCTGGCCCCTTGACCCCCCCGGAACCAGGCTGACATTGGGGGAGGGAGGTGAAGGGTTGAGCTTTTGTCAGTGGGGAGGGGTTGTCTTGTGTACCCCAACCACTACTTAGGGACCAGATCTTTCTTCATTCGGTCTTGTAAAGAAGGGGCCCAGGGGCCGAAAGGGGTGGCTACGGGCCTTCAAATCAGGTTGTGGGGTTGAAAGAAAAGAGGCGGCCAGCCTAAAATGACAAGTATCATCAACATACAGATATTCAGCTCTGTACCTCCTCTTTGCAAGTGTGTGCCAGACCACCTTCCAGTGCCCCCCCTCTGTCCCCCCCTTCTCTCCCCCCCAACCAGCACCTTCTCCAGGTACAGCTCTGGCTCCCCTCCCCCACTGGAAGAACATTTGCTCAGGCCAGCAAACTGGTTGCTTCTTGGTCCTGCTTCTCCTTTCTATGTTAAAACACAAGTCATTCCTAGAGCACACACTTAGAGAGAACACCTAGTGTGTGCCAGGCCTCACTGGTGGGCACTGGGCAAAATGGGAGGAGTCAGATTTGGCTCCCACCCTCTTGGGGCCTTTTGCCTCAAAGCGTCGTGGGTGAGTTACCGAGGAGAGGAGGGTTAAGCCTGGATTTGAAGGATGAGAAGGGATTCAACAGGCGGGCAAGGCATGGAAGGGCATTGTAGGAAGAGGAAAGGAAATGTGCACAGGGGAGGAGGTGTGAAATCACCGGGAGTCTTTAGAGTCCGCCTACACCTGGAGGAGAGGGCGTGGAGCTGGGGGCGTGGAGCTGGGGGCGTGGGGAGGGTCTCTTCCTAACTAAGCCAAAGGATGCCTTCCCACCCCCCACCTCAGCTCTGGCCTGAGGCTCTTCCTGCCAGGCCAGCCCCCTCCTCCTGTGGAGGGAGGAGACCGGAAGGGTGTGCTGGGAGCTCCTTCTGGGGTGGGTTTAATGAGTTCCCAGCACCGGCCAAGGTCAACAGGCGCACCTGCCAGCCTGCCTGCCAGGGTTAGGAGCAGAGAGGAGAGGCTGGGAGGAGAAGAGAGAAGGACAAGGGCATTTTCTCTGCCCCCCGTCCAGGACAGAAAGAGGAAGGGACAGCATGTGGGCAGTGGGTACAGCACCTGGAAGGACTTCCCACCTGTAGGGATGTGGGGGAAGGCCAGCCCCTGAAGGAGGCATGAGGGAGGTGGTGGCATCTTCTCAGGAGAGACCAGAAGACCTCTCTCTCCTCCCTACTCTGGGCTGGGGAGGGCTGAGTGGATGTGAGGGGCAAGAACCGTCCCTTGGACTCTTGGTCACGAGCATGGGGCGGAAGGCAGGGGTGAAGAGGCTAGGGCCAAGGGGCTTCCTGGGCACCCTGCAAGGGCTAGAAATGGGCTGCCACCACCATTTGCCCCTTTGGACTGCACCTTAGCAGGGTCTAAGTTGGGAGAGGCAGGGCAGTCTGGGGGCTGTACTGCGGACATTCTGGCTTTGAAAGGGAGACTTGGGTTGGGGGGGCTCAGGGCCCCAGAAATGGGGACAGAGAAGAAGACAGCTGGGAGGGCGAGGAGGAGACCCCAGAGAGCTCCGAGAGGCAGGAGGGGAGGCGCAGTGCGCGGGAGGCTCACGGGCACCAGCAGGGGCGCGCCCCGCACACCTATTGTCACTGTGGCACGGGGACTAAACTCTCCTCCCCTGACTGGGGGGGAGGGCTGGAGCAGCCACTTCCTCTCCTCCCTTCGCCCCCCAACTCTCAGAGGACCCTTCTGTACCTGGAGAGCACTGTTTTGCAGGCTTCAGCCCCTTTCCGGGCAAGGGAAAGCTTCTGGCAGGGTTGGGGCTTTGTTTTTTTTTTTTTAAGATTTTATTTATTTATTTGACAGAGAGAGACAGCGAGAGAGGGAACACAAGCAGGGGTAGGCGGAGAGGGAGAAGCAGGCTTCTGGCAGAGCAGGGAGCCCGATGCGGGGCTCGATCCCAGGACCCTGGGATCATGACCCGAGCCAAAGGCAGACACCCAACGACTGAGCCACCCAGGCACGCCAGGGTTGGGGTATGTAAGGGGAGAAGCCGAGGGCCTCCAGGGGAGGATGGACAACACCGAGTCTTGGCTTGAAGGGGACTCTCCAAGGCTGAGCTCTCACACTTGGCTCAAGGTAAAGATCCGCCGCGTCCCCAGGGCCAGGGCAGGGCGATTTATTGTACTTTTATTGCCTGGGTAACTTGCCCAGAGCCAGCGGGAGGCACCGGGCTGGGAGCCTGGGGCAGGGCGGGGCAGTGGGCACACACAATGTGCCCTCTGTGCCTGTCCCAAGTTGGCAGGAGTGTGGTGCCCTGTTCATTGCACCGGAGGTTGCCAGCCTGGATCTACCCCTCTGGGCTTTCTGAGGGGAGGGGCTGCCTGCCTCCCCAGAAGGAGCTGTAACCACCCCAGCCCCTAGCTTGTCAGCATCCTGTCTGTGAGCTGTGAGTTCCGCTACCCAAGTGCTCTTAAATCCCACCGGCTCCTGGTCCCCCTGCTGCCTCTGCCCCAACTACTCCTCACAGCATCCCCTCAACCCCTGCCATTCCCCCAGAATCCCCCAGCCCTGGCCCCTTTCTCCTAACCCCCTGGGCCTTTCCATCTTTTGGAAACTTCTCCTCAGCTGCCTACACTGTTCCTTTCCTAGGCCCTATCCCAGCAGGCCTTGGTGGTGTTGGGGGGGTGGGTGGTGTTTGCTGCTTTCTAGGTCACCACAGAGGGAGCTGGAAGCTTGGGGATGTGGGTCAAGATTGTGGGGGCTGCGTCTGAGCACATCACATCCCCAGGCACAAACTTCACTGGCTGTGGACTGTTACGTCCTCGGTCTCCGAATTGTCCCTACCTCAGCACCTGGGCAGAGACGTGTGGAGTGGCGTCTATGACAGGCGTAGGGCCAGGGGGTGGGGACCGAGCCCAGCAGGATCGGGGTAAGCAATGAGCCCTCAGCAGTCTGGGCACGCTGCTAGAAACAGAGGGACAAATCCCGCAGGCCCTGGCCCATGGGTCCTGTGCCTCCCAGCCAGGGCTGTAGCTAGTGGACACTGTCTCCGGTCCCCGGTCCTGGGAGAAGCACATGCCCCAGCCACGGAATGTTAAGCTGCTGCTGTACCCGCCTGGTCTTGTCCAGCATGGCACCCTATGGTTCAGGGGAGCCGCCTGGGGCCAGCCTCCAAGGAGGTCTGCATCCCTGGACAGCTTAGGAGCCAAACATGATTAAGGGTCTGCCCCCTGCTGCTTCTGCCCTCGTCTGACCCCCAGCAGACTGACCTGTGACCTTTAGCTTTTGAACTAGACCCCTGAGGGGGTTAGCCATGCCCTAGGCCACGGGAAGGAGGTTGGGGCTGGGCCACATGCCTCTCCAGCTCCATGGGCTGCTTCTTGGCCCGGCTCACCCTTGCCTTCTGGGGCCCCCTGTGCCAGCCGTGCAGCGCATTGCTGAGTCTCATCTGCAGTCCATCAGCAACCTGAGCGAGAACCAGGCCTCAGAGGAGGAGGATGAGCTGGGGGAGCTGCGGGAGCTGGGCTACCCAAGAGAGGAAGATGAGGAGGAGGAGGAGGAGGATGACGAAGAGGAGGAGGAGGAGGAGGACAGCCAGGCTGAAGTCCTGAAGAGCAGCAGGGGGCCTGGTAAGCTGAAGGAGCTGGGAAGCCTGGTGGGGTCCTCCTTGAGTGTCCTGGGGCACCCCTCCCAGTTCAGAGCTTTTCACACATGTTAAACCGCAGTTGTACGGTGAGGGCCTCCCCATCCTCCCACCCACAGGTGCCCTAGGATACCTGGGCTGCTCCCATCCTGACCCTCTCCCGAATCAGGTCGTCCCTAGTAATTCCGCTATTCCCTAAGAATTACGGCAAGGCCACATGAGGTTTGAGGCTAGACCCAAGAAAAGACTTCCCATCCATGGCCGTGAGGGAGTACAGGAGATTCAGGGATAGAGAACTAAGAGGGTGCAATGCCGTCATTACCTGTGTTTTTAAATGTAAGATGTGGTTTCTGCTGGGAGGCAAAGAGCTGGTTCTTAAGTCCTCCCCAGGACCCTGTGGCTGTTTCTCCCCCTTTTATTTCCTGGGCTGGAGGTGAGAGGGTGCCCTCTAGCGTCTAGATGGAGAATCTAGGATGCAAGAACAACCTAGTCTTCTGCGCTTCAACTCCAACTGCCTGGGAAGAGAGGGGTCAAGGAGGGGCCTAAGACCTACACAAAAGACCTCAGAGCTAGAGGCCCCAGATCCAGAAATCTCCACAGAGGGTCCTGAGGCCCAGAGAATTCCTAGGCAGAAAGATCTCTGCCCCTCCCATGGCTGTGTTTTCCATGCTTACCTATGGAAGGCTGTGCCGTATCTATCCCGCCCGGTGCACGTTAAACTTCCTGGTCCCATTATTTATGGGGATGAGAAACAGTCGACTAAACCTGCTTGCAGTGTCCAGCCCTCGCACCCAAACAAAATGGCTTGGACCTCCTCTCTGCATCTCTGGCAGTGGGGTATCAACGCTGGAGCAAAAGCTCCAGGTGGAAGTTGAGTCAACTCCCGCTGAGACCCTCAGGACAGGTCAAGAGGAAGCAAGAGGAGACTGTTCTCTCTGGAAAAGCAGCAGGGCAGAGGGCCAAATGACAAGACTACCAAGGAGAAATATCAATTGCCACCACTCCGGGAGTGCTGGTGCTGGTCTGGTCAGCATATTAACTATTATCTTATTTAAGGCAATCTACGCAATTTCCTTCTCACCATCCCCTTCAGAGAGGTAATAACTGACTTATCTAACTCATATAGCTAGTCATTGGGAGAGCATTCTTGGTCCAGCGTTCTCTCCATTATACCATGATGCCCTCAGAAAGCTAAGCCTCAGCCATCAGAGAGACTCCGCTCCTGCTCCAGGACGGCTGAATGGATACTTAGAGACTGTGTTTTTATCCTTTCATTCCCATCCCCAGCTGGGCAGAAGACAGCTTGTGGCCAGGGTCTGGAAGGACCCTGGGAGCGCCCACCCCCTCTGGATGAGCCCCAGAGAGATGGAAGCTCCAAGGAACAAGTGGAAGACCTGGCACTGAATGGTGAGGCTTGGTGGTAGCGAATGGGGAGGAGGGGCTGGGACTTTTGTGGGCGTGGCCAAGCCCTGAGTCCCTCTGCTTGCCTTGCAGAGCCTGGGGAGGAGCCACAGCGCCCCGCCCACCCTGAGCCTGGCACATAGGCACCCGGCCTTGCATCGCTCAGAAGGAAGTGGAGGGGGCATTGCTGTTCCCCAGATACCCACTCTGTCCCCACCCTATTTTGTACCCTTCCCCCTCACTCGCTAGGGCTGTGGCTTCTGACTTCTAGAAGACTTCAGGCTGGTCCATGTTTGCTTGTTTGCCCACCTTTGGCTGATGCCCAGAGTCCCTGGGCACTTGCTGCCTGATGCCTACCCCTGCCAGTCATTCCCCCATTTACCCAGAGGGAGGCGGGATGTGAGAGAGTTTGGATGATCCAGTAAGGGGGGGGGGAGGGCAAAGGTTTATCCTTCACAATTCTACTCCCCAGACCCTTCTCCTGGGCACAGGAAACCCACAGGGCAGGACCCTAAGATCTGGGGAAAGAGGGTACTGAGAACCTGTAGGTGCCCTTAGATCCTTCTCCATCCCCTCTCCTATGGGGGATTTCAAGTTACCACCCCTCTCTCTGGCTTCTACCAGGGCCCAGGGCATCCTTCTCCTCAACCTCAACATTTTGGAAATCTTCCCCTTATCACCCCTGCTCCCCAGCCTGGGTGCCTGGAAGATGGACTAGCAGAGGCTGCTTTGTTGCGTTTTGTTTGTGCTTTGATGCCGGGAATGCCGCCTAGTATATGTCCTTAGGGGGGCTCACGGTGGGGAAGCCAGGTTCTCCTTGTCCTCCAGCTGCTCTGCCCCCCTTCCCCCCTTCCCTGACTCCAGGCCTGAACCACTCCTGTGCCGTAATAAATAGATCTTTGTAAATAACCGTGCTGAGACTTCTCTTTCAGGGGAAAGGAGAGGGAGGAAGGGGAAACGGGTTCCCCTATGTGGAAGACCTGGTGGGTGGCCACCTCGACCCTAGTGTGTCCAGTCCTCTAGTCTGGGTCTTTCCTGAAGACAAGCTCGGAGCACTCTTAGGAAGGACCACAGAAGTACTAGATCCTGCTAGGGATGGCTGAACGAGGCAGGGAGGGAAAAGAACTTTCAAGAGTAATTGGATTTCTCCAAAGGGACCACTCCCCCAGCCCCAAAGGCCTCCCCTCAGGAAGTTCCCCCTTTTTCCCCACAGTGCCAGGCCTCTGTGGCCTAACGATGATGATGCCCTTGGGCTTCTTTCCCATTTCCCCCGCCATTAGTAAGACCCTCAAGCAGTCCCCACTTCCGGCCCTCGGGGTGGGGCCCAAGGGCTGGGGGGCGGAGACTGAGCCGAAGGGGCGGGGCTGCACTCTACGCACATCCCAGTTCGCACTCGGGGGCGGGCTCAGCGGCGGAAGTGGCGCCGCCGGGAGATCCTGTTCCGCTCGGAGGCGCTCCGGGGCAGCAGAGCCCGACTGCGGCTGGGGCAGGAAGAGCCTGGGCGATGGCTGACATGGAGCAGGTGGGTCCGGGAGAGGTCACAGGGGCCGGGTGGTACGAGGGCTGTGTCTTGTCAGCGGATTCCGCCTCCCTGCCCGGTGTCCGTTGTTGGTTCGGTCCGACCCTTCCCGCACCCCCCGCGCCCCAGGTTCCGCCCCCTTTCTCCGCTCGGCCTCGCTCTGCCCCGCGTGGGGTTCGGGGGGCTCCGGCGCTGACCTTCCGCGGCCCGCCCACCCGAGAGCGCCCGGGGAGGGCGTCCCAGCTCGCCGTCCAGAGCCTCACTCTGAGGGGAGAGGCGAGGCACGAAATCTGGGTAGTGGGGGGCAGAAGTTGGATATGGGCAGGGGTCAGGGTCTCTGAAAGAGGAGGAAAACATCTACACGTTCCGGTAGGTCTGCGTCTTACTGTCATCCGGTCTCCCCCAACTTCCTTTGAAAACGGCAGTGAATGACTTCCCTAATCGACATCAAAAGGGCTCTTTAAAGAATCTTTCTTGAGTTCTTAGAGGTGCATAACACCAGTGACACTCGTTCCTAATTGACGTAATTGGCACGCCCCTCCCCCTTGGCGTCCTCGGCGTCTGCATCTCCTTATTTTCTTCCTCCTGTTCTGACAGTGGAAGTACCGTTTCCCATTCTCGTGTCCTGCCCAGCCCCCGCTTTATACGCTGAATTTTGATGGTCTCATCCACTCTCATGGCTTCAGCTTTACACCACCTAGATACCCGAAAGGCGCCCACATCGACTTCTTTCTTCAGCGCAGCCCCTCCCTGGAGCCCCAGACTTGGGCGTCCAGCTACCAGTGGACAGCTCCACTTCAGCTGCAGCTCTCTTGGACTGCTCTTTCCCCCCCTGCAAACGCATTCTTCTTCCTCTGCCGTCGCATCCCAGCGCTAGACGGGGAAATTATCTTATGCTTCCTCTTCTCCCTCAATTCCCACATCTGTGGGGTGACCCGATCCAGCTAACTTCCTGAACATACTGCACACCTGGTCCTGGGCCTCCATCTCTTCTGGTACCACCTTGATGTGTTTCTCACTAGGATAACTGCAGTGGCTTCCCAGCAACTTCTAATCATGGCTGCCTGCAACCCAGTCTCCAAACTAACTCTTATGATCTCTCTCTCTCTCTTTTTTTTTTTAAACTCCCGACTGAGCCAGCCAGGTGCCCCTCTTGTGATCCTTTTAAAACACAAGTCTCATTGTGTTACTTCCTTGCTTAAAACCCTTTGTTGGCTTCCTGTTGCTTGAGGAAAAAGGCTGAATCCCTAGTACAATTTACAGCACTGTCTGGGTTCTGACCTCTTTCCTGCCAGTTTCCTAAGTGCACCCTTAAAGTCCAATAACATGGCATCACAGGATGCACTTGCCCATGCCTTGCAATTTTGTGTCTCCAAGCCTTTGCACACCAGCCCCTCTGCCTGGGAAGCCCCTTCTCCTCTTATCTGCCAGGCTGCCTTCTACTTGTCCTTCTCAGGGAATACGACTTCTGGGTTGACTTCCTCCCATCCCCCCTGTCCAAGACTTAATACTGCCCCCTGCGTCCCTGCAACACCCTGTCCATACTGGAATAGTGGTTGATAATACAGACTCCTGAATCAGACTTTATGGGTTCTGATACTGTTTTATGACCTTGATGAAGAAAGTGCCTCAGTTTTCTCATTTGTAAAATGGAGGTAGCAGTGTGTCTATCTCATAGAGTTACTGTAAGGATTAAATGAAATAATGTATGTATAGGGTTTATTTATTTATTTATTTTTTAAAAGATTTTATTTATTTATTTGACAGAGAGAGACAGAGAGAGAGAGAGAGGGAACACGAGCAG